ATAAAAAAAAAATTAATAAAATTGAAATATGAAATTGTCTGTAAACAGCTGAAAACAAGTCAAAATTTTACCAAGTATCTATAAGAATTGATAATATAAACATTCAGTGAAATTTTCATGTATCTACAGCATAGGCGCACATAGGGGGGTGCTTGGGGGTGCTTAGCACCCCCAAGCTTCAAACTAGCACCCTCAGTTTATTTCAGTATTTCACCAATCATTTATAAGCTATCTTGGTTTATTGGTTCGGAATTTTTCTTTTCATTACAAATATTGACAACTGTTTACGAATTCACGAATTCATTTTTTTTTTTTTTGTCTGTCATCATCTTTTAGGACAGTAAAAGTGCTTGGATTTTCTTCAACAGTATCTTTTCTGATAGGAAAGTGAATCTAGTTGGTACTTTGGGGAGGGGGGTCAAAAGCAAAAATTTCACAGTAGTTTTCAAAAGCGCCGTGAAAAACAAAAGAAAAATTAAGGAAAAACGGGAATTTTTACGGAAAATTGATTTTGGTTTTTGGTGTAACTTTAAAACAAATGACCGTAGATATATGAAATTTTAATTGGTTATTTATATTTAAATTTTCTATACATGATAAAATTTTCTAAATATTTTGAGTTATTTTGAGCTTTTTACGGACATTTTTAGTTTCCATTTTTTTTAGTTTTTTTTTCTATAAGTATCAATAAAATTTTATTTGTTCGGTATAAAAGCTTAAACATTTAATAGAAGGCTCCTAATATATTGTTTCAAAGACAGATGAAAAATATTAAAAATCCTTAGTCACAGTTTTTTGTGATAAGCATTTAAATTCCAAATATTGACAAAATACGTGAAAATGACGAAAATTTGCAAAGTATTTCGTGTTAGAAATTCATAAAAATTTTTCTTTTTAAATCTAAGATATGAAAATGTAATGCAAGATTCCTCATAAGTTTGTCTACCTTTATCAAAAAAAAATGTCTACAAGAATCTCAAATTAAATTTTTATGAACGTTTGAAATTTATATTTTTACAACATTTGATATTCACTCGATTTCTCATGTAACGATTTTCTAATTTTGTTGTAATTAAAAAACGAATGACTGTAGATACTTGAAAATTTTACTAAATTTTTATATTAGCATTTCCTATACACCATATAGTTTTCAAAATATTTTGATTCTTTTTGAGCTATTTACGGACATTTTCAGTTTTCAATTTTTTTAATTTTTTTTTTTCTATTCATATCAATAAAATTGTATTTGTATGGTAAAAAAGCTTGAAAATTTAATGCAAAGCTCCTGATATATTGTTACAATAACACTTGAAAAATATTAAAAATACATAGGCACAATTTTTTTTTTAAAATTATTTAAAATTCAAATTTTGACAAAATTTATCACATTTAAAATTTAATAATAATTTTATAGTTAAAAATTTATAAAATATTCAACTTTTATAGCTAATGATTGAAAATTTAAAACAAGATTCTACGTAAATAGGTTATATATAAATTGCTTTATTCACCTTAGTATCATCAAATATACTTAGTAATATCATAGGCTGACTAACCGTCTTCGCTCAGAATCGTTTTTCTTATACAATGATGTTAGTATATCATTGAATTCAAATTTAATACCATCGATTAAACAGTGACCCACTTGTACCCTACTGTACAGCAGAGCACCTTTTTTTGTTTATCAGACTTAAATAACTTTTATTTTGGTTTTGATATCGGAAATACAAAAACAAAGTTACAGAGTACATTTTCTCATTTTTATAGTGTGAACATTTAGTTTCTTAGCTTAGAGTAGAGCCTGAATGTTTTTTATACCCGTGCAAAACAGTTTTGCCTATGTTGTACCTACGTCTGTAATACGGAGACAACACATGTGGGTGTACCTAGCGTCTTCTTTACAATCATACAGACTATTTGATACATTGTACTTTAGAAATTATTGTATACACTATACAAATTAAATCTAATGCAATGCAGAAATATTAGGATTAGGGGGGTGTGGGGGGCAAAGCCCCCCACGGATCTGTGAACCATAAACTATCCTAGCACCCCCTAAATTCACACCCTATGTGCGCCTATGATCTACAGTTATTCGTTTTTGAATTACAACAAAATAAGAAATCGCTACATGAGAAATCGAGTGAATATCCAATGTCGTAAAAATTTGAATTTCAAACGCTTATAAAAACTTAATTTGACTTTCTTATAGACATTTTTTTTAGATAAAGGTAGACAAACTTATAAGGAATCTTTATGTTACATTTTAAAATCTTAGATTTAAAAAAAAATATTTATGAATTCTTAACTCAAAATAATTTACTAATTTTCGTGATTTTTCCATATTTTTTGAATTTTTGAACTTTAAATGCTTATAAAAAAAAAGGGTAAGGATTTTAAACAATTTTTTTTAACCCCCATATCACCCCGTATATCCGCCACTACTGCAGCCACAAGCGAGGATAAAATGTTCGTGAACCTCGGTCATCTAAAATTATTAAGTACCTACCTACATGGTTTTCATACTTAAAAAAAAGATATTTTACAACAGGAAAAAATAAATTGAATGCTCTACCTCTATTATACATACGCAGAATGAAATAACATAAATAAATTTAAAAAATCATAAAAAGAAAAAAAGCTGGTAAGTGGATGTCGCTCTGTTGTACTGTAGGTTACAAGTATAATGGAACAATTCAACAATGTATAATGGATTGTACTAAACTTGAATTCAATGATATAATATCATTGTGTAAAAAAAACGGTTCTGAGTGGAGACAGTTTGTCAATCTGTTTTTTTTATATTGTTAAATGTTTATATTTATTATAATTTATAGCCTGTAAGTCGAATTAATAATTTTAATATTATTATTTTTTATTCGTTGCTATGGTGATAAACATTGCGTTAGAAATTAAAATCCCATTTTTAGCGATTTTTCGTAATTTGTTGGTAGTTTTTCCCTTGGCATTAAATAACTCTGGAGAAAATCGAAAAATCACCTTTTTAAAGTACCATATTGATCCAATTTGTTAAAAGATAAGGTACCTTGTGCTGAAATTGAAGCACTCCTTCTGGTAGAAATTTTGTATACAGGATAAAAAAAAAAAAAAAAATAAACACCATTGTAAAACCACTAGATCCCTTGCTCCGCTCAGAATCTAAAAGAAATGTGTTTATATTCTGGATTTTAATCTTATAATTAAACAGGGAAATTATATAGAAATAGGTAGGTAGGTAGGTAATAGTAATTTGGGCCGGAGGAGAAGTAATGGCCCCATAGTTCCTCCTCCGGTTCTCGATACCATGAAAAAAAAAAAAAAAAAAAAAAAGAGGTAATAGTAATTTAGATTATAAACAAAATATTAAACGCGATTATGATTTATGGTACAATAGCTGAAATATTATTTATTTATTTTAAAGTAAACATCCAAAGGGCTCAAGTACAGTATAATATGTATTAATAATAATACAATTTTACAATAATATATAAACATGATACAAAAAAAATAGCTCAGTGAATACTAGTAATAGATACTACTATATTATAATATAATATATTGCTTAGCTATACAAAATTATAAATTAAAGTAAAATATAATCAGTTCATAACATTAGCTGAGATAAGTGTTCGGAGGTAGAAGAACAACCAATGGAGGGATACAAAAATCTTATATCAAACAAATCAAAATTACTTAACGTATTACATTCTTCATTCACAAGAGATTCGATATTTGGAAAATGTTATCGTGTATAGAAAATGCTAATACAAACATTCAGTTAAAATTTCATCTACCTACGGTCATTTGTTTAAGAGGTGCACCAAAAACCAAAATCGATTTTTTCGAAAACATATTTTAGTGTAAAAATTCCCGTTTTTCCTTAATTTTTATTTTGTTTTTCATGCCGCTTTTGAAATTTACTGGAAAAATTTTACTTTTGACTCCCCAAAGTACCAACTAGATTCACATTCCTATCAGAAAAGATACTGTTGAAGAAAATCCAAGCCCTTTTACTGTCATATAAGGGAATGACAGACACGAAAAAAAAAATAAACACACATCATTGTAAAGTCAATACATTCATGGTTCCCACTCAGAATCTAAAACTTTTCGTGGCCATGTTGCACAGAAATTAAAATATTTCAGCATTATTTTTTAAAAAAATGTGCGTATGGAATAGTTGCATGGGCCGCCGGTTTCCTATAGACTATCTATCACACAATTGTATTAATACGTTATATATAATACGAGTAATATTTAATTTATAGCTAATGGCAAAATTACATTCATACTTCATAGTTGATATTTTTAAAACCAAAAGTAATATTACTTTAAATTATTTTGGTATAATATGATAAATTCCATTTGCAATTTGAAAACCATAAGTCATAAGAAAATTAAGCTGATTTTAAGTTGTACATTTGATTAGAATTTATCGTAAATTATTAACTATAGTAAAATTTAGCTTAAATGTAGAAAAAGTAATGTAATTAAATATTTTATAACCAATAAAGTAAGATTGAGTAACCTAAATATTTCAAAAAAAAATTTTTGTTTAATTATTTTTTGGTCTTTTTAAAGGTAACCTAATCATCATTATCCTGATGTCGAACAATATTAACATATTAAACCCTGATAAACTTTATTAATAATATTTGATGCCCCCTCCCCCCCATAAATCTGTTCTGGATCCGCGCCTGTACAAGTGTCTACTCATAAGTACCTAATAATAAATAGGTATAGGTAAATGATATCCTTGCATTTTATCTCTAATTTGAAATTTGTTTGAGTTCAATTTGTTTTTTAAATAAGATATAAATTATAAAGTACCTAAATTATTTTAACATTATTTAATGTAAATACTTTATAACTTGACAATTTTTCATCGAAATCTGAACATATTTTTGTATAAGTATTATTATTATTATTATGTATTTATAATATTAAATAATAGGTAAGCCATATTGTTCATATAACTTTAAACGTCGATTCAATGTACTCTACCAATAACACATACAAAATATTGGATTTACCTGCTTTTTAAATATTTCTGCATTTTTAATATTAGCCTGTTCTCTCATCTTAATTTTTTGTTCTTTAATGAGCCTATCATTTTCTTGAATAATTTTATAGTTTATATGAGCTATATCATTTTTACGTTTTTCCATTGCAGCAAATCTCAATTCTTCAGAGTTTTCTCTATAAGAATAATTTACAGTATATAATAGTTTTTAATAAATTATTTGTTTTGTTTTATGTTTACATGAACATTTGTAAACGTTTTTCTTCCACTAATTTTCGTTCTTCTTCGTCACTTTTTTCTTTAATCTTTCTTGCCTTTTCTATTAAATCTTCTTGGACAACTTTTGGGTTTTCTGGCTCCTCTTCTTCTATAAATAAATGTTCGTTAGCTTTCATTCCACATTCAACCATTCTTTTTATCTGATTGTATAAACACTTTTTATCTGACATGTCAATCATTTCTTTATGCTGAGCTTCTCTTAATATACTTTTAAAATCATTTTCATTTTGTATTCTAAACCTTTCTGTACGCATTCGTTCTATGTCACGAAGTCGAACTTTGCAATCATTTCCCGGTTGTTTAGCTAACTAATATTTATAAATATCTATCAAATTAATTCTAAAATATTATATTTTCTATTAAGAAAGTATTTATATACTTACAAACCCGTACGTATATGGTTGAGGTCCTCTAAATGGCGTAGATATAGAAATACCAGCTTTAGACGGTGGAACGGGTTTCATTGATAAATAATATTTGATAAAATATTAATAAGGTTTTAATTGACAATAATATCTAATAAACTAAGTTATACATTTATATTCTTATTTAATGCTTATGAAGTACAATTTCAATTGTTTGTTAGATATATGAACTGTTACCAGTGCCGCCCTAACCACCAATAACGCCCCTGCATGTTTTGTCACGCAAATACGTAATGCACTATGCGTTAACTTCAAAACACCCCTTTGGTATTGTAGTTGTATTGCACTGTTTGCCTTACTGGCGTAATCATCACTTATGATAGAAAAAAAAATAAGAAATATTGAAATTTTTATTTTATTTTTATTTTTATTGACCCATAGCAAGAAGTATTAGTAATTACTTCTTCATAATACATAAAATCAAATAATATTTAATTATAATATACCTTACTATTATTTAAATTTTAGATGACTATAAATTCATATATAATTTATATAACATTTACTTGGTACTTACCTAACTTATCTAATTTAGTTAATTTTTTTTAAATATTTATATCTTGTTTTAAAATAGATTAATATACTTAGGTATAATATCTTACAAACTATGCTTATTACCTACTGGTGTTATAGTCTATATGTCTATATAAGAACTATTATTTTTAATTAAATTTACTCCGTACAATTATGATTTAATATTTTTCTTAACACTATCTTCCATTATCATGTTTGCTGGAGTCACAGAAAGAACTTTGAATAATGGTTTTTTTTTTTTTTTTTTGGTATAATTTTATAATTTTTAAAACAAAAAATTCAACTACCATTGTTTTAAACTGATATTTCAAGTTTTAAATTAGAAAAACCAGTAATGAACGCATTATATTATATTATATACTTATATATTTTAAAAACAAATACTATCGTATACAAACTGTAGGTACTATTTCTATTACTTCCTCATTTTTTTTAGATCACCAAAGAACACTGAACAAGTGTCATGGTCATATTTTTTTTAGTCGAACGTTTTCGTTTTAGTGCATTGTTCTTATTTGCTATGATGAATAAATGTACTTAATTTGCAAATGAAAAGTTCATGTGATTCACTACAGTATAAAATATATATACTTAAAGTGACCATACCGAATAATTCAGAAAGAATTGTTGTTTTTCACTACTTTTAGTTAGGTATTGAATTCGAATATATCTACCTACTTACAGCAATTTCCTATTAGAAAGTAGTCTCATATTGTGACTAACATCTAATAACTTATTTCAAAATAACTAATAAATAATGACTAGGAAATAGAGTTTATATTTTTAGCTTTCAATTAATTGGAAATAGCTATTTAAGAAACCTTTTTAGTTTATAAACTCATAGTTACTTTATATATATAATATTATATATATATAAAAAATCAATAGCGTTTAATCTGCAATTTGTAGAAAAATACGGGAAAATTGTTCTTTTTATATTAGTGGTTATACTTGCCACTTGGATTATTGCCGGACCAATTAAGCATAGGTACTTTGAGATCCTATATTATATTTTATGAAAAAATTATAATATTCATAGAAATTTATTATACTATAAAAGTGATTAAATACAAATTAAATGAGTTATCGATGTTAAATGCCGATTAAAATAATAATTCTTATAATTGCTTTTTATTTATTGTCGTTTCTATAACTAGGATCTTCATGGCTACATAGTACATACAATAAAAGTAAGTACAAGTCTTATCGATCATAATTCATGATCTTAAATATTGATCACTATGTTCTGCAGTGTTCAAATAATCGACATTTAGTGACCGTTGTAGTCTTGTGTTACACCGTGTCAACTGTCAAATTGAATTTTGAAATTGTTTATAGTGAACGAAAAAATCAATTAATCTTATATGAAAAATTTTAATTTTATAACAAAGCGTATGTTAAATACTTAGACGCTAATAAATGGCAATGTGTCAATAAAAAGTGCACCGTAACTGATTCGTTTATAATAATAAAAGGACTAAACAACAATAAAATAAGTAAAAATAAAAATTACCAAAAAAAAAAATAAATAGCAAACATTTTTGACGATTATATAAATAAAAAAAGGTGGGTAAGTGGATGTCGCTCTGCTGTACAGTAGGTTACAAGTGGGTCACTGTATAATGGATGCTATTAAATTTGAATTCAATGATACAATATCATTGTATAAGAAAAACGATTCTGAGCGAAGACGGTATGTCAGTCTAGGTTTAAGACAAATTATATACATATCTATGGTATTAAAAAAAAATTGACCTATAATAAATTCCAAATTAATCATATCACATTATCACAATATCCATTAGGTACTTATAACACGTTATACATCAACATCAATAACAAATCCTGATACTATCATTGATATATAATAGTAAACTTTAGAAGTTTCAAGTAGGTACCTACCCATGAATAATATTATATAATCACAACAAAATAACTAGGTTTTTTAATGTGTAATTTCGTCCAAATTTGAACATAAAATGACTATAAAAATAAACTGTGATTGTATATTTTTTAGATTTTTCGGTAAGAGAATTAATTACTTACGTGGAATCTTGTTTTAAATTTTCAATCCTTAGCTATAAAAACTGAACATTTTATAATTTATTAATTACGATGATTAATAATTTTCGAGATTTTGAAAAATTCTGTCAAAATTCGATGTTTAAATGCTTATAAAAAAAAATTGTGCCTATGTATTTTAGGTAGTTTAAAGTTGGGCAAGTGGGTGTCGCTCTGCTGTACAGTACGTTACAAATAACTATTAAGTCTTTGTATAATGGATTTTATTACATTTGAATTCAATGATATAATATCGTTGTATACGAAAAACGATTCTAAGAGGAGACGGTATGTCAGTCTAGGTATAAGACATATTATATACATTATATATGGTACTAAACCAAAATTTGACCTATAATAGGTACCTATAATAAATTCCAAATTAATCATATCACAATATACATTAGGTACTTATAACGCGTTATACATCAACAAAAACCGTGATACTATCATAGATAGATAATAGTACACTTTAGAAGTTTCAAGTACCCACGAATAATATTATTCAATCACAACAAAATAACTAAACTAGTTATTCTAGGTTTTTTTTATGTAATTTCGTCCAAATTTGAATTTAAAAAGTCTGTAAAAAATAACTGTGTTCATATATTTTTTATATTTTTTGGTTACAGTATGACCTATTTATGAGAACCTTTGTTTTAAATTTGCAATCCTTAGCTATAAAAACTGAAAATTTTATAATTTATTAATTACAATGATTGATAATTTTCGAGATTTTGATAAATTTTGTCAAAATTCGATATTGAATGCTTATAAAAAAAAATTGTGCCAATGTATTTTAAATATTTTTCAACTGATATTGTAACAATTTATCAGGAGCCTCTTATTAAATTTTTACACTTTTTGGAGCAACAGATAAAACTTTATTGATATTCATAGAAAAAAAAACAAAAAAAATTGAAAACTGACAATGTCCGTTAACAGCTCAAAAAGAGTCAACATATTTTCAAAATTATATGGTGTATAGGAAATGCTAATATAAACATTCAGTAAAATTTTCATGTATCTTCAGTTATTCTTTTTTGAATTACAACAAAATAAGGAAATCGCTACATGAGAAATCGAGTGAATATCCAATGTTGTAAAAATTTTAATTTAAAACGCTCATAAAAATTTAATTTGACTTTCTTATAGAAATTTTTTTTTTGATACAGGTAGACAAACTTATGAGGAATCTTCTATTACATTTTAAAACCTTAGATTTAAAAAGAAAAATGTTTACGAATTTTTAACTCAAAATAATTTGCTAATTTTCGGGATTTTTCCATATTTTGTCAATTTGTGAACTTTAAATGCTTAGAAAAAAAAAACTGTGACCAAGGATTTTTAATATTTTTCATCTGCCTTTGGAACAGTATACTAGGAGCCTTCTATTACATTTTCAAGCTTTTTCAGCCAACAAATAAAATTTTATTGATATTTTTAGAAAAAAAAATTTTAAAAAATGGAAAATGAAAATGTCCCTAAACAGGTCAAAATAAATCAAAATATTTTGAAAATATTATCGTGTCCAGAAAATGCAAATATAAACAACCAGTGAAAATGTCATGTATCTACGGTCATAGGTGGCGAGTTAACAGGGGTTTAGTCCCACCCCCCAATTAATTATATTAATTTATTATATTATGTTTTTGAAAATAAAGTGAGAAAATAACCAGTATTGTAGTTTAGTACAGATTGCATAATTGTGTATGGATATTTTTTTTATTATTCATTCATTATATGTATGTGAAGACTATGCGATATTCATGTTTTTAAGGTAACATACAGAGTTAATACCGACTAGTATCCAATGTCACAATATACAATATCAAATAAAATTATATTATATTTTAATTGTGTTTATATCATTATTATACATTTGTTGATTAGCTGTTATAAATAATATGATACAGACAATACAATATGTTTGATAGGGATGTAGGGGTGTGTTATTAACATATCTGAAAGAGAATTCTGAAGACATGACAAACAGTATTGTAGCTGTCACTCAGATAAACACTGTTGTCAACCGGATGATGAATATGAAGAATGGGTGTTGTGTTCTCGGTGTTGTCGCTGGATAGCCATTAATCGCATCGCTAAAGAAGATAGAATTGTTAATTACGCAATTGATGATTTCTTCTGTTTATTGTGTAAGCAATGATGAAATTAAAATAAAGCTACAAATTGCATATCAAAATAGTAATTAAATTACTCAAGTTACTTTATTTATGAACACAGCTTCAAAACACAATTTGTAACCACACCAGTAATGCATTTAATAAATTATTATTTGACTTTAAATTTAATTTATTCATGCATAACTGACAGTCCGCAGTCTGAGTCAAAGCGGGAAGACATTTTGTGTTTTACTCATGTATTTAATTTATATTTAATGTATGAGAAGAATTTCTTACTTTATAAATAAAAAAGATATTCATATAAACAATCCATTCATTGTAGAAGTCAGAACTTGTATCTTCATAGTAGCAATAATTTGCATTCCTAAAAAAAGACCGAATTGTTAATTATGATACTAATAATTTCTTGTTTATTTTCTCAGATATGATTAAACTAAAATAATATATAGAAATATTAAATATAGAGTTTAGGTGGGTGAACAAATGTATTGTTAACAAATGTCTAGTATGTGTGAATGTGAAATATGAACACTTAAGAAATTATGAACTATTGAAAAAACAACTATGAAAACATACTGTTATTAACATGTAATAATTTATTTGAAACAATAATGTATGTTAAGGTTACTGTAAGACTTAAGAGTTTATATACTATTTCAGCAGTTTTTAAATTATCTCCTGCAGGCTATAAAAATGTTCCCAGAGAACAGATAGCATAGCATCATATTTTATTACAAAACATCGAGGTTCTGTCAAAATGCAATTACAAAATTGTGAATAAACTGACATTTATATAAATTTATTCATATTTAATAGGCAAAAATAGTTAAATTAGTTAATTGCCATCAAAAAGTGACTTAAAATATGTTTAAGTTACTTTTTATTAAAAGGTTTTTAAGGTATTTAAATAACCACACATAGTTTTAAGACAACATTTGTAACCACATCAGTTATGTATTACATACATCTACATAACTGACAAGCCGCAGTCTGATATTTCAAGTTGCACGGCATTTAGTGTTCTACTTATTTAGTAACTAAATTAACTGTTTATGTTCAATGTATATTACTTACTATAAATGTTAATCTAACAATCCATTAAATATAGAAGTCAGAACTGATATCCTCATTGCACCTTTTGATTTCAAGTAGTTAGTTCATTACATTTCACTCCATATCATATTCATACAGTAATTGTCAATACCACACTAATCAAATAAAATAAATCAAATGATTTTAAACTAGCATATTATACAATTTCTGTAAAGTATACCTACTGCTCAAATTGATGGCGTACAGTTAGCTGTGAGTTTAATTTCAAATACATTTTCCAAAGCCATATGTTAAACGTATATATATGTTAAACAAAGTGAACCAGGTAACGGAACGGCCAGTATTTCATTATTACTACAGGTTTCAGTAGTGCATGATTTTGAACAACCTAAATGTATAAAGTTAGTAATCAAAACAAATTTTAAAAATAAATATAAAAATATATTTAACCGGATCATCGCAGTAATATATAGTTGAGTATTTCAGCCATAATACACTGTTTTAGTTTATTTGGTAAAGATTCCAACCTTGATACTAGACAACCGCTCTGAAAACGTACTCACATCACAATCAATTTATCATATCTGAATACAAATAAAAATAAATGGTGATTAAAAAGTTATTGCTGTTGAATGTATTAGTTCTTACATACCTAGAAATAATGTAGATATAGCATGTGGCTAAAACATGTTCTTCAATTCATTAAGAAACATATTTTCCTCAAAATGTTTTCCATACAACTTAACATTATTTTTTGGATATAATATCAGCAACAGTTGACAGCTTTCCAACAAAATTTCACACCTAAAAGTGTAATAAAAAAATAGTTTATTTATGCTACAAAACACAATTGACTTGGTACGTGTTATATATTGTACACTGTTTTGTTTTGATTTGTATAGATGACTTATTGTTTACTTGACTAAAAACTTTAGGTATGTGAACCTAGCTGTGTAAAATCATGTTGTATATTTAAAAAGTAAAATTGACTTGTTTGACAGTTAACATTGTTTCAATATAGAATACTTTATCTAGGATCTTTGTGGGAAAAAAAATTAATTCATTATTTATTCAAGTTGGAGCGCGACATAGCATCTTAATTCGCTGCGAGCCACAATATCAATTATCTTTATCAGAGCATATTATCCGGCGAACCATGCCTCGCGGCAACGGGGAGTCCCTCCTCTGGGATCTATGGCTCCAGCAACTGCATAAAGCCGTATCTTATCAAAACTTGCTCGCCCGAGCGGAGCAAGAAATAGAACTTCGCGATCCGGCTATGGCAATGACGCCAATGACACAAATCGCAAACCTCAACCAGCCGGTAGAAGAGCTGCTCACATTGGTATGTGAACTGTTATATTCTGTGATGCAACACCAATACGACCAAGACCGCACAAAGTCGAGGCCGTTGTGCCACAGCCCGCTCTCGGAAGCCGTCGTCAGAGGTTTTTGTTTTTATGGAGCTCCCTAAATTGATGGATGCCCTTGAGCACTTGTCCTCTTTGCCCCCCCCCCCTTAGGACAACTATGATTCACATGCTCCGTGCTATTAAAATTGGTTACCGGTTCCGCAATAACTACAAATTAAGAGTTTGTTTAAAATATGTCAGTGCACTATTTGTTTTCTCTCTGACCTATGAGCAACATAATAAATTTATGTAGAGCAGATCCAATTTTGTAATGTTAGCTTTAATAAAGATGGAGAAAAAATATTTTGCAAAGATATATTTATTTATATTTTATTTTTAAAGTAAGTTATGGGTATTTTAAGTACCTAATATAATTTATTTAACATAGTTATGTATTATTTATTTTTATCTAACTGGTTGAGCCCTTTGGACACAAATATAATTCTACACACACAATTATTTATATTATAATACCTATAACATAATGGTATCAGACAATATAATGTAGTAATAGTAGGTATCATATAGATAACTCACTATTAAATTAATAAATTGATAAAATCCCATGAGGTGCCCACAATAATATTCTTACTTTTAAGTTTTAGTATTTACTTTAATATTAATGTTTTTATAACTTACTTGAAATGCAATATTTATAATGTACCTATACTTGGTCTGTAGAATTGTCTTAAAGAAAATCAACTTCTCAAAAATGTTCAATACATTGGCTCGACATCCTAGTTCCTCGTAGGTAGGTACGTACATCATACTATTATATTTCAGTTTTGAAAACCATGATATAATACAATGTGTATAGTGTATTTGTGTGAACTAAAAACAGTAACAGTAAATCATTAAGTTACTTTCACTTTTCAGCAAATATTTAAAATTTTAGACAACTTGGACAACTACTTACTTACAATATGTGTCATGTTTGAACTTATCAACTTTGAGACGCCAGTTGGACAATAGACTGGCGAGCACCGACAATAATACAAGCGACTGCCCGCGGCTCAGAGCGTCGGAGCCTGCTGCGGAAAAATATTTTGATGTGCGCGCTATCATCTAGACTTTTCCAATGTCGCCAACCTAATCACATCAGTGTGACACGTACAACTTTTCAATTTCATCATCGTACATCTTATTATTATATATTATTATCATTATTATTTTTATTATCATTGTAATCATGAACTACTAGTAGTCATTGTAAGCAAAGACGGTCACAGTTGTTGTTGTTGTAGTAAGTTGTTGTCGAACCGTGATCTCGGTTATATGAGATAACGCCAAGTGAATGATATTGAATTTTCTGAATTATCAATCGTTCAGTGTTCAAAATATTTTACAAATTCCAGCTAATTATATTTTATTAGTAACCGGCTTTTCCATTTTAAAAACTTTTATATTATTCTGCTCTACTGTTTTTAGACTTGTAGTAAGAGTTTACTGATTAGTAAACTCTAAATCTGAAATTATTATTATTTTGATAAACTTAAAACATATTTACCGAATACTGAAATTAATTTTAATAGTAGAACAATGTCTATGCCTGTATTTCCATCAAATTCGCCTCAAGTTCCTCAAGCCATGCAACAAGTACAACAGCAACAACAGCAACAGCAGCAGCAACAACAACAGCAACAACAACAACAACAGCAACAGCAACAGCAACAACAACAGCAACAGCAACAAGAAAAATTGGACAATATATCTAAAGTGAAAACTCAAGTGATTCAACTCAAAGAATCATTAAGTTGTGTACTTCGTGCAGCTTCATATACTCTACAACAAAATCATTATATTGACACAGGATTATTAAAAACTGTAGAAATACCCGGTCCCCGATTTGAGAAAACCATTGAAGAATTTTTTTCGATTTGTGATCAAATTGAGTACAACCTGAAGACGGCCATCGAGTGTCAACAACAAGGTATATTGTTAAATTGTTTTAGTTAAACTACAAATTATCAGAGAATAAGTTATTTTTACACAAAGATTTAAGAAAAACTTCCTAGATTAAAATGTTTATTTTAGGTACCTAGCTTATTAATAATACCTAGGTAGGTCATAATATAATTTGCATAATTATTAACAAATAAAGAAAATACTCTAACTAGGTACCTATTGACTTGCGAAAATAATTTATAGTATAACAATTATTAATTTTTAGTAAATGTGTTACCTTTCTAAGATTGCCTCTGGCTCTAATATTTAGTTACAATCATATACATTTTCTGAAAATAGAATATATTTAATAACTAACATTTTAAAGCTCTCTCACAAACTTTATCATACATTCAAACACATAATATAACAATTATCCAAAACCAAAAAATATCTTTCAAATTGGTTTTAAGAGTTTTATATATTACTTATGAAATGAAGGTAAACATGTTTTAGTCAAACCATCAAGTTATTTCTACCGACTCAAATAATAAACTTCATTTATATGCACTTTAAAAATATTAATTTATAAAATCATTGATTAATATTAATATTAATATTAATACACTATTATTATATTACTAGGTACTAAATCAATGACAATTTGATTTCATGTGAATTACCTATCTGTCTTTGTTTGTATATTTTACCAATTAAGGTACACTAAATGTAGTTCCAACAAGGAAATATTGTATTTCCTTATTTATTTTAAAAATAACTCGTTTATTTCCGGGGTCTTTAACCATTTTAAAGTTTTAAAGAAATGATTATTGACCTAATTGTATAAATAACAATACAAAATATGGAATATTCTATCAAAAATGTATCAATGTATTTACTATCTAGTATTATTAAAGTATCTATAATATACTTTGTTAATAATACATATTTCAAAATAACTATTTTCTGAGCTATTTTCTCTCAAATTATTTTTAAATCTTTACAAACTGGTCCTAAAGGTTAGAACAAAAAAGTATTTTCATTCATTCATTACTAATTACTTTACCTAAAAACAGCATTTTTTTTATGGAGCTTAAATTACCCATACAATTGATATTTTCTCTACTCTACCATTTTGACAATAAACGAATATTTTCTATTTTATGGTTTTATTTTTAATAAAAAAAAAAAAAAAACATTAAAAGCAATACGTGTGTATATATATATATATATATATTTTATTATTTATTTTATAGTATAAAATAAATAATTGATGAATTAATAACAATAATTGTTAAAATTATTTTACAAAAATGTTTTATATCAATAATTATGTTAATTACAATATTGAGTGTGAAGTTCACGCCACATTTCCTCTCCCCTATTTGACTAATATCAATTAATAATAAAAGTAATATAATTTATTAGTTTATATCTATAATACATTAGTTATGTAATACTTATCAGGTTACTTTAAAAATGTATTTATTTATATGAAAGTATAGTTACTAATGCAGTTATGATACCTTTAAATAATATTGCAATTTATATATTTTAATGTTTAGGTGTAAGCAGTCAACGCTATATACCACTAATGGTGTACCCTACAAGAACAGAACCATTACCAGCTCAGGAGTTAAGTTCGCTTACATATCCTCAGTATTTAAGCACTGTTCGATCACAGATTTCTTATTTAAAAGAAGTTCAAGAATTACTGCTGTCTACAACTCAAAATAATTCTAATGAATAATAAAGAAAAAAATGTATATTTAAACAGCATAATGTTATAATGTTTATGTATAATATATTATATAAGAATTTTTAATAATAATAAAAAAAACTAATAAGTGTTCAAAAAAAAAATAAATTCATAATGTTCAAACTATTTCATAATTTCCTGTGTATAAAGATGTCTCAGATGTAAATTTTACAGGTGTGCTATCATCAACAAGTCTAATTTCCATTGGCTTAATTTTATTGTAAGATGATTTTGAAATAAAATCTACTTTAATTGGGAAGAAATCAGAGGCAATCGATTTGGGTGCTTCAAATTCAATAGATCCTGTAGGGTTAGACGAATCCACTACAGCCACTGACCAAATTAAAACGTTCTTTTTAGGTTCATAACTATAAACTCCACTGCACTCTTGAATAACTGGAGCACTACCAAATGGCAACGGTACTGTGACTGTAACATTATTCAGCTCGAGGTCAGCGTGTTCCAAGTTATATTCAATATTTACATCACAGCCACCATAACCATTTTCACTAGGCCAGCAATTAATTGAAAGCGGTATAGCCGATTCTTCTTGTGACTGAAGAGTCCATTTTAATAGCCCTACTTCAGAATCCAATGGAAATGGTTTTGTTGAATTTTTCAAACCTATTAATCGATTAGTCTTGAAAAGTTCCTTATCAATATTAGGATGTGTCTGCAATGGAATGTTTCCAGATTCAAAATTAAACTGTAAAACAATTTTTTGATAAATTTCATTTGAAATTTTTAATGAAATCAACCCATGTAATTCAAAATTGCGAACGCCTCCATCACGACCAACAATGGCAATTAAACGTTCTTCCTTTTTAATATGAATGTCTTTTTGAACGGTTGAAGAAGTTGATGTAATAGTTGATGTCTTGTTATTACTAACAACTTTTTCACCTTCAGATTTCAATTGATCAACAAACAAATCAACATCTTTAGATTTTGCTCCTAATTTTAAAGCTTTATTGGTTGATGTGTATTTTGGTGTTTCTGGCTTGGATACTTTTATTTCGTAAATTGAATCTGCGACTGGTGTCATTGACATGTAAGAGCTTGATGGTGCTGTCATACGAACACCCTTTTTGACAGCATCAATTCTTTGTCGTTGTAATTCTTTTGCTTTCTCACGCATTTTAACCTTAGTATCACGCTCTTGTGATTGGCGTACCGCTTGATACATTTTTTCTTCATGAGAATCCATTTCAACAAATGTTCTTACTTGAGCTAAATTAACACTCTCCCTATATCCAAGGGCTACAATTTCATCAAAAGCAAATATTAAATCAAAAGATTTTTTTGATACTTCACTCTCATCAACTAACCTAGGACAAAAATCATTCATATAATTGTTAGTAAAAGTTAAAAAAAACTTTTAAATCAATTTACTGATTAAGATAAGGTAGGTACTCACTTGCAACAGTCCAGAACTACTTTTGAAAACAATCTTAATGTTTCCAAATCTTCTAATATGTTACTGGTCTTTGTAGTGATCAGTAACATGTAGAGTTTTTCCAATGGTTGGTATACATATCGTACAGAATCTGTCTCAACAAATGTATGTTGTATGTGACGTTTTTCTGTCGACATCAGCTTAGGAAACGCCGCCAGTAGACCTTCAATCCGCGCTTTGGTCATTTCAACAAACTGTCGAGAGACGATGGTTTTTCCCGTTTTTGTGCATACGGCTGAAGCCAACAGCACCATTTTGGCAAATTTTCGCAAACTAAATAACAAATATACATGTTAGGCACACAATAAAAATAATAATATTTTTACGGCAGGTCGAGCCAAGTATATGTGCGTACTTTGTAAATGTATAGTCAATCGACAGTACAGTTGTTAATTGAAAAACCTCTACAAATTGCAATTGACTTTACGAACTTAGAAAAAAAATGTGTACACACGACAACAATTCTCGATGGTCAATCATCTATCATTATGCCCCGTGGCAGTGTTGCCACGCTTTACAAAATGAAATAACGTACAATTGAAGTTAAAAATCTCGTATTTTTATCAAAATTATCGTACAATAATATTTATCATAATCGCGATTACAACTGATTAATGAATAGATAATAGATACACGGGTTTTAATCATGCTTTAATTATTCTGTGTTTTAATTGGTGTATTGATTACTATTGAATACACCTTGGGTTTAATATTATAGGTTAATGAAGTAAATAAAGTAAATTTATAGGTACAACCATTATACCTTAATATCTATCGGTAGGTAAACGATAAATGATTTAAATAACCAAACATATAGGTAATTAAACGTGTGTCACTCGTGTCTCTCTGACAGTCTAACAAGTTAGATCTAACAGTTTATTCAATTTATTTTCACTCTAATAATAATTGTAGAAAGAATACCTATCGATTGTATTTCATTATCAAGCAATGTTAATCTTAAATTATCTTAAAATGTACAATGTCAAATAGAAGTTATACTGGACCATTTATTAAATAAATAATACTAAATATATCACCTATCTTAATTTATTTATTCAACTATATTAATGTTTTTAAAAATATTTTTATATGCATAATATTTTTTATTTTCTTATCCACAGCAGGAATTCTTAAATCATCATATCAATACAGAAATATATTTTGGAGCACTTCGATGTATCAAAAAACAAAATCATAAATAAGTGCAAATAAGTCATTATTAGTCATTATAAGTTATAAGATTCTTTTAAATTAGTTAAAAAAGAATAAAAAATATCTTTGAAATTAAAAATAAATTCGAACAACATGTAATCAGTAATCATATACCAAAATAAATGAGATTATTGATAATTAAAGACCGGATTTATATGTTTTTACATATCGTTACTGGGTCTATGCAGTCTTATGAGAGTAAAAAATGTGGACGATTCGTTCAATTCTGAAAGCGTAGAAAAAAGTTTTTTTTGCATATTTGAGAATATTTCATGGGTTGGAGAATATTTAACCCATTTAGTATATTTTGGAATATTTCGTAAATTTTGAGCAAAAATTTGTATTTATTTTTAATTTTAATATTACGGTACTCTGAAAACAATTTTTTGACCATTTACAATTTATTTTTTTTTTTCATTTTGATAAAAATAAAACAAGCAGTATTATCAAGGTTTATCTATGTATATTTACTGATAAGATCAACTTATAAGTTTATCAAATATTCAAATATCAAAATTTTGTTTTTGTGTTTTAATATTATACTGTTATATTTATATTATATTCCAACTTCCTACTCTTGCTAAAATGCAATACTATTCCATTAGGTATAATACGCAACTCTTAATACCAAATTAATATCTCACTATAAAATATAGTTGAAAAAAATTTTAAAAAATAAATGCATATTAAAGCATATAATGATGTTTTTTGATTATTTTTGCATATTTTAGCATATTTTTTAAATTTTTGAGAGAATATAATGAGAATATTTGAAGGGTTTTTAGAGAATATTAGCATCTTATTTTCGGTATTTTAAGAGAATATAAATCCGGTCTTTATTGATAATATTTCAGCTAAACTTTAGTTAAACTCTTTAACTGGCCAAATATCTCGGATTAATTAATAAACTCTTAATTAATAAAACTAGTTAAACTCCGGTTAAAATATTAATCAAGTAATGATAAAATCACATTTTTAGTTTAACTGGGGATTAATCTTAACTGGAGATTAAATTCTCTTAACTGAAGATTGATAAAATGGCCCTTACTGTTCAATATATTGTATTGCTGAAAAGTGTAGGTGTTATAAAAAAATGAATAAAATATGTAAACTAAAATTATCATTTATCACTATCGTTATTATCACCGTTTTTATTAGTATTACTAAAAACGTACAATTAAAAATTGTTAATACTTTTATTATATATTATAACGAAGTTGGAATCGTGACTACGGCCTATACTGGTATTCGTGTATGTTGTACCTAAGAGAAAAAATTTAAAAATTTCACTCATTGAACATTTGCAGTGTTACTGAAAATGTCAAGGAAAAAAATGTCATTTAAAAATGTTCAAGCTTACCCAGACAGCAATTTTTTGTTTAATAATATTATTATAACATTGTAATAACGAATAATATTAGTATAACGTTATTATAATAGTATTATAAAATGCTATCTGGGTACCTACAATTTTCTTAATAATTGGGAAAAACAAAATAGAAATTAGGAATAAATTGGAATATTACGGGATAGGTAACAATTTTGACAAATGTTCTTATAATTTTTTTCAATACATTTTTGTAATTTGTACTCTTGTTTGAGAACGAATTTTATACAGTTCAAACTACAAAGAATATTGTTCATGTATGCTTTTAACAAACTGTGTTGCAATACATTTGTGCAAAAGAAACCAAATAATTTGCTACTTCATTTTTTAGAGCATAGTTAACTAATTTTTTATACATTGCAACTAAATTTTTACTTAATATAGTAAATAAAGCAGATTAAAACAAAACAGAAGAAATGAATGTATAAAATGTAAATATGTATATATAATATTATTATGTAATATGTACAAACATTACATTGATTTGTTTGTTTTTATTTTTATTATTTTTTTCTGTCTGATGACACTCCTTTGAGCAATATTTTTTTTCTGTTCATAAAGGAATTAACCGTAGATTGACCATATATTTATAATATAACATTTTCTCTGAAGTCATTTTAAAAATATTTTTTTATATTCTCTTTGAAATATAAAATACATATTTTGAAATTTTCTACTTTTCTTAGTATATATATTTTTTTTATCAATTTAAGCATATATAGTTTTTTTGGTATTACAGGTCAAAGAGCCTGAAAATTTCAATATAAGGTTCCTTGTAACTTATGAGTTATAAGTTTGTTTATACAGCAGTTAAAATATACCAAAACTATCCAGCCCAAATTTTTTTTTAACTGAACATTTGTACTTCAAATTTTCACGAAATTGTGTGTTCAGACTAAAATAACGATTATAGTGGGTTTATCGCAGTTCAATAAATATTAATTGTAGACTTGCGATATATTCCACTATTACTTAAATTGTAATTGTTTTAATCATATTGAAATTTTCAAAATATTTAAACTAATTTTAAGCTTTTTACCTATATTATACCAAGAACAAATTATACAATTCTACAGTAGGTATGACAATATTTACTTAGGACTATGATGACTTATTAACAATAATATAATATTCATTAATAAGTAGAATATAATTTGGCAAAAATGTGTTTAACTAAAAACTTTACTAATAATAACCTAACTTTATTATTGGTACTACTAATAGGTAATAACTAGTAGGTAAGCCATAGAAATTTAAAAATTCATAATATTATAAAATGTCTTTAGAAATAGAGTCTGACTCCAATTTTAGCAAAAAACCGCTTGTTGTATACAATGATTTATTGATTCATGATTCATATTTGTATTATTTTTTTAAAAATAATAATGCTTCCCTTTAACCTATAACTAGCATAATTCATACTGTAGCTTAAAACACAATAATAAAATCATATACCTAATCGACCATATCAGATTTAGTTACAATTATATAATAATTAATAACAAACAATTTGAAAAATATTAACTCAGGTATATATTTTATTAAAAAAAAACAAAAAACAGGAATAAAAATAGATTTTATAAAGAAAAATAATTTAATTAAAAAAAATATAAAAATTGTTGTTTGGATTAGTCGTACGTCATTTTAAAACAATCATGGTTTCTTGAATCCATCGATGGCCTTGTTCATGGTAGCCTGAAACATTAAATCAATATTAATGATTCATATATTTAAACTATAAAAATAATTTAATAACAAAATATAGTTGATAAATTATAATAATATATAGGGTGTAGGTATCTTGTGGATTTGACATTTGCTCATTTTAATAGTTATTTTAACTTTCAAATCCTAAGTCAATAATAATCATGTATGAATATGTAAAGATAATGAAAGTAACCATTTGTGTTAACAAATGTCAACGTATGTTTTAATTTTGAAGATTTAATATTGTTATTCAACGAAAAGAAAACCAGTCAATTGTTGAAAAACGAAACGAATTATTAAACTAAAATTAATATTTTCAAAATATCAATAAATGGTTTTATACAACTAATATGCACCTATGTACTACTATAATGTATTATGTATTGGGTAAATTATGATTGTGGTTATTACATATAATTTATATAACATGTAAACTTACTTCCACATCTTTGGTAGTTTTGATGACGTTTTCGGTGAATTTCTTTAATTCTACCTTTTCACCGATGGGCTTGACGATTTTATCTTCGAACAGATCTTTGGCAGTACCAAGGTATTTTTTCAACTCTTTCTCAAAGTCATCGTATTTTTCAACCAATTTCGGGTCAGCGTTTTTGCGAACGATATCCTTCATTTTATTAGCTTCGGTTACCATCTGTAAAAGTTAATTAAATTCGAAAATAGAAACAAATTTGAATAAATAAAGCAACTACGTAATACAATTTATATTATTTATTCTTACGTCTGCGAATCCTTTAGTCATTATAGTTCTAAATTTTTCAATGGATTTTTGGGCATCGCCAGAGTTAGGGGCAATTCCCACTAAGTGATTGACAACAGACATAAAAGTTTGTGACATTTGATCAGCGACTTTTATAAGGTCTTCGACTTCAACTGTAGTACCGGTTGCGGCTGACATGGCCTATAAAGTTATTTAAGTGTTTAAATACATTTCATAAATTAGCGAGAAGTTAAAACTAAATACTTAAGACGTAGGTATATTGTTCGTCAGAAAAAGAGAATCGTTTAAAATATTTAAAATAACTACATGATTTAGTAATCATACACCGCATACAGTAAAATATATAGTAAATAAATATATATAAATATATAATATTATGAGATTGGATAAAATTGTAAGTAAAAACGTAGAGTCGAAGTAAAGTAGTTTTACAATAAAATCACAAGTAAAACAAATAATTCGGAAGTTAATAATTAATATTACTATTCTTTTCCTTCGTCGTTAAATAATCACTGTTATAGAAATACTCAAATACATAAAGCCAAAATAGCGACATAAAAATATCGAAGAAAACTAAAAACTCATAGATAAATTATTATAATAATAGCATTGTGCTTGAATAAATTGTCTAACCTGTCCAATAAAGACGACCGCGAAACACAAGACAATTTTTCCGTTCATGGTGATGGCGTTTTTCGATTACGACGACGACGATATAATATTATAATAATAATAATTATTATTCAGCAAGAAAATTCGTGCACTGATCAATCGAAACTAAACGACCGGCTTATATAGGCAATAATAGCCGAGTCCCCCGACTCGCCCCCCCCCTTTAGTTACTGATAATGTATAATATAATATGATGGAATATTGGGGAAACAAATTAACAAAACGCGCTCTGGTGGAAACAATTTGTACCTTCCAATTCGGGATGTATAGATATAGTTTTATGTTGGTTATTTTACTTTTTATAATAAATTAATTTTGCTATGGAAACTTTATACGCTTTTATAGCTAACTGTATATTATGTTGGTAAATATAATTTCTACTAATATTATCAAATACGTTCAAATTCACTTCACTTCACTTCAAGCAAAATGTATTCGAAATGCCGCGAAAACCCGACTCGAGTCCCGACTGCATGTAGGGGGGAACCCCGTCCAACCATCAGTACGATAGGCGTTGACAGCGGTCCCAGTGTTAATTTGTTTTCCCAATACGGTTATTTCCTGCGCTTGAACTTCGGTGCACCGTTCTAATTAATGTGAGTAACAATTTCTTCACCGAGTTTTTACAAACTGGTAAAAAAATTATACGGACGATGTGGTCAATTTGCAAAAGCTGACACTACATAATATCAATAAAATTATTGATTTATTATGTACATTTTTTTCTTCCCATTTACTCCTGGCTTTCAGTGTTGTTTGTTCTGTGTAGAAATCGCCTACCTATAATATAATATTTTACCACAGCACAAAATGATTGATAAGACACAGTGCACTTTGTATCTACGTTGATTAGGTTTAGAGGTGAGTATGAATACGTGCATATTCAGTGATCATTGATCAACAAAACCGTTTTCCGTTTAAGGTCACTTTTTTTTCGTATAGGATGGAACTTGCCCTGTATCCATACAGTATTGCACCGTTGTTTGTTTGTTTGTTATTGGACCTGTTATTATAGTCAATACTGTCCATGATAACATTTTTAAATTATTGTCTTTATAGTGTTTACTCAGTATAGCTGGTATCTATTACCAACAAGCTGGCATCCTAATACAAATAAAATACATATTTTTTAAATTAATTTGTATAATATTTTATTTAGAAACATGAAATATTATAATATTATAATATCTTAACCATTAATGCTCTAATATTCTCAATGTTATTTTTGAGTATTTTTAAAAAACCCAACATAATTTTTATATAACAGTTTCTAAGTAATGCAGGTCAAAATTTTATCCGAGTTGGCTTATTTTATGTTCGTCCTTTGTAACATCAATATTAATTTTATTACTATAATATTTAACAATACAAACTCTATAATAACACGTCAGAACTCAGAAGAATGGAATAATAATACGTTATTATCTATTATAATGATCGACGGTTTCTACTCGAAGATTTTTTGGATAAAGCAACTTTACATAAGTTTCTTTCTGAAAAAAAAACTATTTTATGTCTATTAAAAATAAAAAAATTATTTATTTAATTTTCAACGTACATTTTTTTAACGTTAACGTTACTTACTACACTTAATTATGAATTGTTATAAATATATCAAACATTTTAACTCTATGATTTAATTTTTTTTTGAAAAATTTTTTAATTAATTTATAAATTAATTTATTTTATCTGTTTATACAGTTAATAAATACCAAATTTTGAACAGAATAATGGTAATTAATATTTGTGGATTTTAGAGTAATACAATTTACATTTCTTAGTTTAATTTATTAATGTTTATTTTATAAATTATTTTTGTAATTACAATTAATATTCTAATAACTTACCTATTCGTGTTGTGTATAATAAATAATAAAATAATTTATCAGCATATAAATCTAAAAATAAGTTGTACAAAATAAATTGAACAAACATAATATCTATATTACAAAATTATAATTATTATTATTTTTTGGAATTATATTTTGGCGTCGTAAAATGTCTCCAACAAGGACGCATTAGCATGCATTAATACTGATTAATAATACTATACATAAACATTTCCATATTAAATAGATTGAAAATTATGGAAAAACTATGAAATTAATCCCGAGGAGGTAATTTTGTTTATAAATTGAGTTTTGTTTGGAACTGTTTAACATTTACTTATATCTTAAAATAAATTGCACATGCAATTTAAATTCATATCCCATATTTAAATATATAATATAAAAGTGTGTGGTTCTTTTCTATCTGCCTCATTATTTTATAGATATAAATTTTACTTTTTTTTTAAGAGCAACTATAAAAATGTTCTATTATTTTATATACTTATTGCACGTAACAATTGACTAACACTTTAGGGGTTATCTTATTACAACTTTAAAAATGAACTGTTTATTTGGCACATAGTCATTAATTATTATTATTAATAATTACACTATAAAAATCATTATCCGTTTTCGAACATCAATACATTTAATATTAAAAATTTAAAACCAAGGCTACCATTCAATTAAATAAATCATATCCATATAAATTACATGTATAGTATTTATTTTATTTTTCTAGTTCATATCAGTGTTGCTGAACCAAACTATAATACTTTAGTCAGTAAGAACTTATCAAATGCACAAAGGTCGATGAACGTACAATTCTGATTTCTAAGAAATACAAAATGTATAACAGGAAACGTTTAAACATTTTACATTGTACATATTTACTTTACCATTATACAGAATCGGATTGTGAAATTTAGATAAATTACGTATTCGAAGTAGGCATCACAATAATATAATATGAATACCTATGTATTTTGTCCTATACAGAGTGATTTTTTAAGCAAGTCATATTTGTTCTAGAGTTGCACCAAAAACCAAATTAGATTTTCTCGAAAACAGATTTTGCTTAAAAATTCCCGTTTTTCCTTTGTTTTTCAAGGCGCTTTTGAAAACTACATGAACATTTTTATTTTTGACCCCCCAAAGTACCAACTGGATTAACTTTTCTATCAAAAAAGTGAATCTAGTTGAAGAAAATCTAAGTATTTACTATTTTTACTGTCCTAAAAGGTGAAGACAGCCGCAAAAAAAAAATTTTAATTTACAAAAAAAAACACATCATAAGTAGGTACCTATATTATATATTATTTACTAATTTATTGTGAAACTAAACAAATTTTGAAATTTGAGTAAAATGGCATTTTTTTTTTGGTGGGTGGTTACATTTGAGGTGCAGGGCCGGTTTGATCCATATTTCCCGGGCCGAAAAAATTCGCAAATCCACCCCTGACCTAGAATAATACTAGTTTAGTTATTTTGTTGTGATTGTGATGTTATTCGTGGTAATTGAAACTTTTTAAGTAGGTATACTATTATAGTATCACGGTTTGTTGTTGGTGTATAACAAGTTATGAGTACCTAATGGCTATTGTGATATGAATAATTTAGAATTTATTATAGGTAGAATTTTTTTTCATACCATATAGATAAGCACCTATATAATATGTCTTATACCTAGACTGACTTACCGTCTCCGGAATCGTTTTCCTTATACGATGATATTATATCAATGAATTCAAAATTAATACCATCCATTATACAGTGACCCCCTTGTAACCTACTGTACAGCAGAGTGACTTTTTAACTCATGCCTCATGCACCGAAATCGAGGTGAGTAATACAATATAATATAGATATAATCGTACAAATACGTGACGTGTCACGATGTGTGTGTAAATAAATTACGGTCATGTGTGAGAGTTCGCTGTTATTCTATCCGATAATATCAGTCCCCTATGTTGGAGTATAGTGTTAATTATTTATATTACGGGGGCTGGAGACATAGCCCCTCTTCTGTATTTCCGATATTGCTCGAATATTGGTGTCGTACAAATTCAAAAATAACCATGATACCTACCTATGTATCGTTAATATTTTAGCTATAGTAAAGAAACGTAGGTACGTATTACATTTTTAAGATTTTTGACCGGATTAATAATCATTATCCGTTTTCGAACATCAATACATTTAATATTAAAAATTTAAAACCAAGGCTACCATTCAATAAAATAAATCATATCCATATAAATTACATGTATAGTATTTATTTTATTTTTCTAGTTCATATCAGTGTATTGATATCGTTATTAACGACTTTAAATTAGAAGGATTTAGTGATAGTGAGTAGAATATAAAAAAAATTAGTGTTGGAATGTGCTAGTTGATTTTTGGGGGGTTGACGATGAAACACGGTGGGTGCCGCGACAATATTCTATAAGAACATGCGACCACCGGGTATCACTGTCGATAGGACTATTAAGCAATTAGAACGTTCCAAATTTATAGTGACCAAATTCAAGAGAAGAATATATAGAATATACGTGTTAAAAAGGAAAAACAACCGAGAGAATATTCGAATATAACGTAGGTAGAATCCAGAAAAATGGTAGACTATTGAATTTAGAGGAAGCGCATAACGGCATATGTACACATAAACACAAAATAACGTACGCTCACGACCCAAAGACCGATGTGAGATTTACAAAATGCATATTCAACAGAATGGTTAGGGAATATGGGTATCAGAATTTGGTAAAACAATTCCAACCAATATAGACAATACCACGTACATAGAACCACGTTGTGAAATATAATTTTTACGAATTTTAATTTTTATTATAGCAAATAACAAATAGCTTAATTAACACACTAAAGTAAATATATAAAAAAAAAAATTCAAAGTAACGCTAGATACTAATAATTAACTAATATGAAACTAAAAGTAGTAATTTAAAATAAATTAATTTCAGATAAAAAAAAAAACGAAAAGGAAATAACATTAGGGATCGGGCGGTAAATAACAGGGGCATATTTTGTCTATTATTATTGGAGACTGACAAATGGTGCACTATTATGTACCGAACGGTTTGACAGCTTAAGGAAAATGTTGGAATTTGATCGTTTGGTGGTTGGTTCGAAAATCGTGTGTATAACAGATTTTTTAGCGGGATCACCAAAAGACCAAATAGCCTTAATAAATCACAGTAAGAAATTACAAGGACAAAATCTTGTTAGTTTAGCCAGTGTCGCGGGATGATGCTTTGATTTACAGCACACTCTTGCGTCACGGGTTCAATTAGCAGGATAAAACCATTACGAAAATAGAATAAAATAAAAATCGATTTAATACTAGCCTTGATCATGTAATAGAACTTGAATACAATAGTTTATTGCTGATCTGGGCCTGTAGTAAAAAGATATAATCTAATTACAGTATAGGAATAGTAATATTAACTAGATATAAAATATAATAATATAACGATTAATGGAAAATATATATATAGTAGCAAACGTAAACGTAGAAAAAAAAATTTAAAAAAAAAATAGAAATTCAGGATTAAATTTTAATAAAATAATATACAAATACTTAAAGGAACATATTAGCATATAATTATTATTGGACATAATTAACATGGGGATGGAATAAGAAATATATTAATCTAATTTATTTAAAATATAATTAACATGGTAATGGAAAAATCAAATATAGTACACACCACTATTCTATTTTATCATATATATATATTGCACGAAAAAAAATATATTGTAATAGATTTTAAGAATTCATGTTATATTAAAAATTATTACACATATTATATTAACACTAAGATAAGATTATTGTTGTAAAACAAAAACACAAAAGAAAGAATATATTGTTAATCACATAAGATACTAACCTAGATAATAAGCAAAATATATACTGTAATAATATTGTGACTTATAATCTGTATTTTGTCAATAATAATTAATATGGTGGAATGTACCATATGATTATAATGATGTATTTAATGTAAAACATAACATGTAAACATGTAATAATTGAATGTAATGAAATAATTGATATATGTAAAATTTGTAACCATAGGAAAGTGCTTGAACTAATGGAGGAAGTTTGAGTTAATTTTTCTCATTTTAGACGATAAAAATCAACTTTTAAAGGGGGAGATGTAGTAAGCGAGTTACTACCTAACAAATAAAACAAATTCCACAGGTACATAATTAGTATACTATAGGTACTGTAATTCGGCATAAATCGGATATTAGAATCGGAAATAGGATTTCCTACTGTTTAACATAAGAAGACAGGCTCACTGAATAATATAATTACTCAGGAAGCCCTGTATACGACAATGTTCAAATATAAAATATAAAATAGTAGAATGATTATTTTAATTACAACGCTGTACGCGACGATATTCAATATAAAAATATAAAAGAGTAAAATGATTATTTCAACTGAAACATAGATTAGCATTTTACCAATACGCAGAATAATACTGGGAAGTCATAAAAGGCGTGGGCTGGAACGATGGTCACACAGATCACATCCGTGAGCCGAGATACAGTATCTATAGGCAAGGGGTACGGGGAACTTCATATAAAAGGGAGCCCGAATCGGCCTGCTTTCAGACGTGTACTACCATCCACTAGTGCAAGCACCTTCACGCCACTTTGTACAACATTATTTTGGACTTAGAAAATTATCGAACGTTTAAATAAAATTCACAATAAATAACATCTGTCTTTTATTTATTCATCATCCACGACTTCAACATCAAATAAAGTGTCTGCGACCTGCATCTATAATAACTTGGTAACCCAGTGGCGCACACAGGGGGGGGGGGGGGGTAAGGGGTTGTAACCCCCCCCCCCTAAATTTCTCCGAGGCCTAGTATAATATTAACGATTTTTACAAATATGAAAAAAAATTGGTCTTTAATTTACTGCTTTAATTATAAGTTATAAGAGTATCTATAATAATATTATATATTATAATAGGTACTGCAGCACTTGATAACATGATCATTGATCCATGGGTATAGAAACAAAGTACCTAGTTGGACAGGGGTATGATGGAGCAGCCTCTATGTCTGGAATATTCAATGGTACTCAAGCTCATATACGAACAAAACACCCTATGGCATTATATATACACTGCAGTTCTCATTGCTTAAATTTGGCTATCTCTTTTTCTTGTAAAATCCCTGATATTAGGAATTGTATGGGAACTATGCAAACAGTATGCAATTTTTTCTCATACCCTAAGAGATCAAATGTACTTTTAGGTACTATTACAAAGCTTTTACCAGATGAAAAATCATTTAAACTGAAAAAGTTTTGCCCAACAAGATGGGTTGAACGTCATGACGCTGTCATACTGTACTATGAATTACAACCTGCAATAATTTCTGCTCTAGAAGACATTTCTTTGTGGAAAGATACAGATACTTCATCAGCGGCAAATCAACTTTTAGCATCAATACACCAATTTAAATTCCAAATATCAATGATGATTCTTGTTAAACTGTTTTCAATATCAGTGTCACTCAGCAAATTTTTACAAACAGAAAATGTGGATCTAGAAAATGCCCTTTCTTTTGCTGAAAACACACAAGCTACATTAAAAGATATTCGTTTAAATGCTGATAAAGAATTCAATGAATTGTTTAAGTCAATTGAAAAAATTTGTAGCACATTGGAAATTGCTGTTTGTGTTCCTAGAATATCTTGTCGGCAAACACACAGAAATAATGTAGACGTTGACACCCCGGAAAGTTATTACCGAGTAGCAGTATTCATCCCCTTTCTCGATAATTTTATAGAGCAATTACATAATCGGTTTTTGGAACATCGGTCCATATTAATGAGTTTTGATTGTTTAATACCAAAGCCTAACTGTAAAGTTACCAAAGACATTGAAGACCAATTTAAGTTACTGCTAGAAACATATAAAGATATCTTGAATGATGATATATTAAATGAATATTCATGCTGTGCTGAATTAAAATTATGGCATAATAGCTTTGAATATCAGGCACAATGTTCTCAACAGTCTAAAATAACTGTAACAGATTTATTCTTCCAGTGTAATTCAGAAATGTATACAATTATTTCAAAGTTGCTTCAAATTTTCATTACTTTACCAGTTACAACTGCATCAGGTGAACGTTCATTTTCTACTTTACGACGCATTAAAACGTATTTAAGGAATACTACTGGACAAAACCGACTTAATGGTTTATCAATGTTAAACATTCACAGGGACATAATAATAACACCCGAGGAGATAGTCAATGAGATGGGAAAAACATCAAACAAGAGATTGGCTTTACATTTATAAAATTATACTATACCTTGTACTTTATTATGCTATATAGTACTAAATTATACTATATTGTATAATGCAAATATTGTTGTAGTTGTACTATAGCAATAAGCAAGTCAACTATTTTTAATTATATTGACCTTTATAAACTATTTGTAATAAACTAAAAAAATTATAATTGATATTTAGACTATAATAATATGTTAGATATACTTTTTTTCATACAACATTTTGCTATATGTTTGCTTAGGGCTATACAATATCGGAGATGATGTAATGCTTTCGGAGGTGAAGTAATGCTAACGCGGTTCCGCCTCCGGTCCTCAATTCAACCAGAAAAAAAAAAAAAAAAGGGCTATACAATATTAATCTCTATAGTAAATTATTAATAATTATTATATAAACCCCCCCCCCCCCCGAAAAAAAATCCTGTGTGCGCCACTGTGGTAACCACTTATCTACTATTAGTACTACGATAGTAGGTACCAAGCACCAAGATTATTAGGTACACTTGGCACATCGACCAGGGTAATATTTTCTTGCAAAAACAAATCTAATAAAGCTATTAATTGGTTCCGATGAAACCAAATCTACGAATACTAAATTATTTCTTATACCTAATAGGTATATATCTACAGATAGATATAATTTACTACTTTATTAGCATATAAAACGAAACCAAATATGGTCAATAGCAATATTAAATATAGACATGGTCTCAACAAAATTGAATAACGTATTGACACTTGACAGTCGTGACTAAAATACCAAATACTAAAAGCAGTATAACTAATAAGCATTATAATACTAATAATTAATACCTATATATTATGGTATTATTTGCCAACCAACTTCCCATGTGGTATTATTATAATTTAGTAACAAATATCGTAATTCCCTGCTTTATTTAATAATTTTGCGGGAATGGCAAAATCATTGTTTATATTTTATTTTACTTATCTGCGGCTTAACGCCCCTATGGTGCCCTTCCCTAGAATAGGTGAGTGGTCAAGTGGTAAATAAAGGTAAATAGAAAGTAAATAGATACCTAATTAATTTCCCACTGTCTTAGTTCATGCTTGGTCTTGGGGAAAGCTGCCGGGCGTACCTATATTGATTGCGCCGAAATTACCTTTTTACCTGAAAAAATCTATCGATTGCGCCGCGTATCAACTCCGCCGAACTTTTTTACATATTGATTCAGCCAAATTTTTTTAGATTATACAGTAATAACAACATGTAAAAGGCTTATGTTTACATTTATGTTAAAATATATTTTATTTCATTAGTAGGTACACACTATAACTTAATGTAATTTGTATTTAACTCGTAACAAAATAAGTTGAAGTAGAATAATACACGAACAATGAACATATAAGTTGAACTTTAAACTGTTCAATGTTCAACTGTATCTATAACATAATATTATAGGTACCTACACAGCTATATTTATTCCAGTGGAAATCGCGTATTATCGCAACGGACAACAGTTTTTATATCTTAATCAATTTAATCTATAAAAGATTTATGAAAAATTATACATTTTATTACATGGTAGGTACTAGGACCTTCATTGCTACATAGTACATACAATAAAATTAAGTACAAGTCTTATCGATCATAATTCATGATCTTAAATATCGATTACTATGTTCTGCAGTGTTCAAATAATCGACATTTAGTGACCGTTGTAGTCTTGTGTTACACCATGTCAACTGTCAAATTGAATTTTGAAATTGTTTATAGTGAACGAAAAAATCAATTAATCTTATATGAAAAATTTAAAAAACTTAGACGCTAATAAATGGCAATGTGTCAATAAATAGTGCACCGTAACTGATTCGTTTATAATAATAAAAGGACTAAACAACAATAAAATAAATAAAAATAAAATTACCAAAAAAAAAAATAAATAGCAAACATTTTTGACGATAATATAAATAAAAAAAGGTGGGCAAGTGGGTGTCGCTCTGCTGTACACTACGTTACAAATAAGTCGTTGTATAATGGATTTTATTACATTTGAATTCAATGATATAATATCATTGTATAAGAAAAACGATTCTAAGAGGAGATTCTATGTCAGTCTAGGTATAAGACATATTATATACATATCTATGGTACTAAACCAAAATTTGACCTATAATAGGTACCTATAATAAATTCCAAATTAATCATATCCCAATATCCATTAGGTACTAATAACGCGTTATGGTATTCGGAAAAAAAAGCCCCGGAAAAAAAAGCCCCAGAAAAAAAATACGGTAAAAAAAGCCCCGCCATAGGAAAAAAAAGCCCCGTACCTACGAAATACATATCACTTTTTTTATTATAGTCGACATTTTATAATTTTTAATTTTTAAACAATATACCTAGGTATCTATATTATATTATAATTGTAATAATAACCAATGTAAAACTTTTACTAAATATTTTACACTATATAGGTATAAATATACATTTGGAATATAAAAGATTAAAGCATATAGCAATAAAAGTAATTTACTGTCGTTTGACTTTATCTTATAAATGATGAAGGTATTATATTTTATTACAGACACTATCTAGCAACTTTTGTGGGTATCTTAGTATCTACAACATTTTATTGTTACAAATGTGGTTTTTTCGTTCATATAGTTATTGTTGTAATTATTTTCAATTAAAGGTGTATAGGTACTAGGTACCTATACCAGCTGTTAGGTATGATATTCTCTTCAGTACGTATTTTTCGTTCATCTGGTTATAATCGTATACAATTTTGGTTATTTTGAATTAAAAGTGCGAATATATAATGGAAGTGATTCAAAATAATAAAAATAATAAAAAACCTCAAATTACACACGGTGGATATTTGTACAACATTCAAAAAGAATGTAATACTATGATTCGTTGGAGATGTACTAAATCGAGTTCAATGAAGTGTCCCTGTATTTTAAAAACAGATTTAAATATAGATAGTCCAACTTTACTTTCCATTGAACACGATCACGTACACGAGGCGAATGAAAACATGGTATCTGCAGTAAAAATTCAAAAAATTATGAAGGCAAAAGCCAAAATTACTAACGACGCACCTAGTCAAATTTTTTCAAGTGCCATACTAAATGTTCCGGAGAGTGTATTAGCTGAATTGCCAAAGGAAGATTACTTGAAAAGATCTATTCGAAATCATAGAGGGTATACAAATCCACCAAAACCGAGATGTCTGTCAGAAATAATTGTTGAAGGTAAATTAAAATTTTTAAAACTATTTTTAAACCGCTTAATTCTTAAGCAAGATATATGAGTATTTTTGAATTTCAATATCTTACATACTCACATCTTGCTTAAAAATAAAAATATTGTAAAAGTTAACGTACAATGTTTAGAAATGAGAGCTCTAATATTATTATCACGAGTTAAAAACCTATAAAAAATGTACGAACAATTTTTTTGGATAAAATTCCTATCTCTGACAATGTTACGCACTTGTACATTATTAAAATAGAAATTGATTTTTAAAACATATAGGTACTTATTTCATTTAAAATTTAATAGGTGATTATAAAGAATATGGTCAAGAAAGATTTTTACTTCACGATAACGGCCCAAATACCTGCAGTGGAAGGATTATTATGTTTGCCACCAATATAGGATTGTCCTTACTAGCTGAATCGGATACATGGTATAGCGATGGAAACTTTGGCCTGGCTCCTGAATTTTTTAAACAATTATATGTGATACGTGTACAAAAAAAATCAGTGTTTGTTACAGCTGTTTATTGTATTCTTGAGCGAAAAACTCAAGTTACATACGAGGAAATGTTTGATATTTTAATAAATGAATGTAAAACTCGCGATATGTATCCAGCTCCAAGATACTTACACTTGGATTTTGAATTAGGTGTAATAAATGCCGCTAAAAATATTTTAGGAAACCACATTACTATACATGGGTGTTTTTATCATTTGTGTCAGTCGACTCATAGAAAATTACAAAAACTTGGTTTAGAAACCATTTACAAAGAAGAAAGTGAATTTAGAAAATATTGTGGTATGATCGATAGCTTAGCTTTTCTGCCCCTGGATAAAGTGCTAGATGGAATGACGTGCTTGAAAGAAAATATACCACCTCGTGCGGAAGACCTTTTGTTTTATTTTGATTTTTATTACGTAAATGGTACATATAGGCGAGTAGGAACTGCTTCGTCCTTGCGTTTGCGTAAAATACCCCCCATATTTCCACCGTCTACGTGGAATGTACACGAAATAACATTGAAAGGTGGACATCGCACCAACAATACCACAGAGGGTTGGAATAACCGTTTTTCAAAGCTCTGTGGTCATAAGCATCCTACAATTTGGAATTTGATTAAAAAAATGAAAATGGAAGTTGCTGCAGACCAAGCAAAATTGGCGTTATGTAATGTAGGAGATTATGGAAGTACAAAACTTGGTACAAAAAAATTAACCGAAAACCGCTTAAAAAATTTATGCATGCAAATTAAAAATAATGATATAAGTATATTAGATTTTCTCATGGCTGTTAGCCACAACATTAGAAAACAATGCTACTAATTTTTTTAACTTTAAACATTTTTTAAATTATAAGTTAAAATATATAAGTCGCGTTTTACGCCTTCAATTTTAAGTATTATTTAAATTTATATATATTTTATTGTGAGGTTTTTTATACATTTATTTCAGTACATGCATTATAAATTATGATTATGCATTATTTTAAATTTTAAATTAAAGAGTATAATATTATTTATCTTTGATTTTTTGTATATTTGTATTTTTAAATACAATTTTATAATTTTATTTTTGCTATGAACTACCCTAAAACAATTTTTAATTATAAACAAACAACAAACTACAATTAATAGTGTATTTTTAATTGTGATATAATTAGTTATTATTATTATTATTATTATTTTTATTAGTGTCGTGTCGAGTCAATGTGTCATATACTAGATGTCATTTTTTTTATAGTTACCTTTTAAGAAAATAAATGTATTACCTTGTATAATAAAT